CTCAAATGAGGATATATATATATATATATATCTATTACAACATATACATTGTTCGAATGTCTTCTAAAAATGCTATAAATATGCAGTAAATATTACTTCTTAAATTTACCCATGTAACAATGTCCAAATGACTTTGTAAATGTTACAGTGACACACCTCGCATTTTCTTTAAGATTCTTAGTTTTGCATCCAACAACTTTCAATCTTTTGTGCATGTGCTCCGGATTGGGGGTCTTGGTAGTTTACGGTGTTGTGCACAAATCCAATTTGGTTAAGAGATCCGTATGCAGGCCACTCATCTTAAGCTATATGTGGCTCAGGCTCCACTTCTAGTTCATTAATCTATTATTGAATTGAATTTCCTTCTTTGTGGCCTCTGTTTACCTATTCTTTCTAATAACTCTTCATTTCTAACCTTCTCTATTTACGGTATCCTCATCATTCGCCGGTAAAACCATATTTCAAACACTTCTAACCCTTTCTTTTCCGCCACGTCCACTGACCATGTTTCGCACCCGTACAGGGCCGGGCTCCAAACATACGCCTTTAACAAGCTTAGAAGTGACTTCTTTTTATTGAAGGCGACTCGACCCTGCGCTATCCTCTGCTTTATATCCCTATTACTCCTTCGTTCTGACTTATCTGACTTCCTAGATACCCAAAAGCAGCCATTTCTTCTAATTTTTACATTCGCTCTTTTCCTACTTTTTCTTACCTTGCATATCCACGGTTTCTATTATTTTCAATTTCGGCATCAGTCTTCTGAGCAGCTGGTGCATTTCTCTGAAGAAGGCGTCCTCGATTATATTTACGTTTTCCGATAAATCATGATTCGTCAATCTATACGGGATCTCCGGAGATTCCACAGAGCTTTCCTCATAACTCCGACATGATTTTATTGCAAAGTTCCCTACACATGTTAAACCAACACAAAAGAAACAGGAACACAATTTCCAAAATATCGAACAAACCCAAATTGCAATTTAACTTCTGGTTTATGTCAGTGTGGTAAAAAAATTGATTTGCAGATCTTAAGAAATCGCCTTTTCTGTTACGTCTCCTTTTTTCTTACATTTCGCTAGCACATTTTGAACAAGATTCTGTTATATTATCCGAATGTAGAAGTTGATGTCGTTGAAATTCTTCATGTGCATACTGTTACTTAATAAACAATCGAATAAATACGAAGACAGTATTGTAAACAGTTTCTTTTATACCAAACAATTACGTACCTTTTACATCATTTGGACAATTATCACCATATTATACGTAATTACTTATATACTTCATTCGATAGGAAGGTAGTTATTGTTAATAAGATAATTAACATAATACGTACTCCGTTGTGTATTTCTTACGGTAGAGCACATTTAATACTCTAGATGTACCCCGTAGAACATTTCCAACAGTAGAGTACACACTATACCAGCATCAAAATAACAATATCTGATTTTTTTTTTGATACCTATAATATGCACTTATATTCAACTTTTTTTTTTTTTGAGAACTGTATATCGTAAGAGTGATTAAAATTGATTATTGATTACAGAAGTTTTTCCGAATGTTCTTGATTTTATAAGAAAATCAAATGGAATTCTGTTGAACAGAAACATTCAAAACACTGTATTAACCCAAAATACCACACAAAACGTTTAAAAGATTGATTGTAAGTCTATAATTACAAGGATGGCACCTTGGGTGTCAAAATGCCTAAGTATTATTAATAAGGACGTTTATTAGTAGCAGCAAATACTCACTAGATGGCAATATACTTGAAAAAGTATTATTATGAATCTTCTAAACGTTTTACATGGAATTTTGGATTACACAGTTTTGTTTGTTTTAGTGATTATAAATGCCTTCATGTAAAATATTTACTTTCAAATCTCAACTTATGTCTGTATTTGGCCTAATGAATAATAGCTGATAGTATAAATCAACACATGATTCACTTCAACTTTACGGAATATTTTGCATAGCAATAAATAAATAATTGGTATGTTATTTGCAGATTGCATCTGAAATAAACCCTGTAATTGTTCGATACTTTTTGAAATGAAAAAACGGGATCCTTATATTGTTTACACACTTAACCACTGATCATATATATAAAACTAAACGTAAGGTATTTTTCCCCGATTTAATAAAATTTCACAATCTGATTCGAAGATCTTATAACACATAAATAAAAGAAAAGTCCGAAAATCATTCATTTATAATTTTATGAGAGTTATTAGGCACGTAACAAATTTCATTTCATTATTAACTTTGATACCTGTACATCATGATATTTCCCATTCATTCTTCATCATAACTTCAGGTCCTTTTTAACTAATTTTCAAATCTGATCGCTCAACATTCTGTACGATATAAAAAGGTGTCGTTAACTGATATCTGTTTTGACGAAAGTGGGTTTTGCGAAATCGAAGGAGTGAGTTATATTTCGGGTCCTTTCTAACCGATTTTCAAATTAAGACGCGTGAGATTTCGCCCTTTACTGTCGGTCAAGCCAATTTAAATTTATATGATATAAAACTGCGTAAAAGGGGTATCGTAAGGTGACGTGATTCGGCGAATATGTTTTTTTCTGTGAAATCGAAGGAAACGATTCATATTTTCGGCTCCTTTTTAACTTAATTCTCAAATTTCGTTTCTTACGCGATGTTTCAACCAGAAGATCATCTAATAAGGTAATTCAATAAGGGATGCACCCTGCTTTGGATCTCTTATTCATGGGGACCGACAAGTCATATGTATTTCTTCTAAAAATTGAAAATTACGCGTGATTTAGGAATTGTATACTTAGGTTCTTTTATTTTTCGTTTTTGAACGGGACCACCAAAAACTCTTATCCATCGGGAACCAAATATCTAAGATCCACCCCTGATCAGATATATAAACCGAATCGTCGAATCAGTTGAAATAACTTAATAAGGCTTTAAATAACTAATTAATTAACCTTCCGAATCCTGAACATACGTTAATCTCTAAAAAAATTTTTTTATTAAAATTCGGATGGAGCGCCATGCATAAACGCATAATTGCCAAATGTTTAATAAAAAAATTAAATATGTACTTTATTGTAGTACCATTAAGATTGATATTAATACTTCAATCTTTAAATTATTAATGCGAAAAATGTTAATAAAGAAAACACCTAAATAAAATCAACTAACACTTTTACTTTGTCACTCCGGAAGTAAAGTTATATTTCAAATTAAGTACCTGATGGCTTTCTTCTAAACATATAATACAAATACTTTTAATATTTTCCGTAATTTAAATTACTTTGTTCGAGAGTAAAAAGTGAAACAGATTAGGATTTAGGATATAACATAAATTATTGCTACCTGTATTCGTCCTTCTTAGAAACTTGTTTGCGTTTACCTGTCTTTTAAATGCATCTGGCATGGTAAAAGTTGAAGAAATCCAACAATAAGTGTTGACCACTTTGTTAGGTACGCCATCCCCTGTGATACATTCTATCGGTTTACCGACCAACTGATCCCCCGTTATCACAAGACTGCACGTCAACAATAACACCGTTGTTAAAATGCAATGAAAACGAAACATGGAACAGTCGGTGGTGACTTCCTGGACTTTAAAATATTCTTTGAGACAACTCAAGAGCTGATACATTTTCGTACTGCGATTGCGAAAAATTAGAGCAGAAAATTATTCGATTTTCACTTTCAGTTCCAGAAACGTTCACATAACAAAAGTGCACTTGATGTAACTAGAGATCTCCCCTTCTTGCATTCTCCATCAAATCACGCACTCACATTACGTCACGAGCCCTATCATTTCAATCGATTCTACTTGCAACTTCTCGCTTCTCATCTGCTGTAGGTCTGGAAAATATCGGCATTATTATGATCAGCACACTGTATCCGATCCGACAGGGAGTCCAGCACCACATTTTCACACATCACCAGATTACAAAGAATCTTTTAATACGTAGGCATCATAGTTTATAGATGTGTATGCGCAGAAATCGTTAAGGTCAGATGAAATCATTTGTTTTCGGATGAAATTAGAGTCTAGTTTAGATTATACGGGGGTAAATCGAAAAAATTATTTCCAATGTCCCGACCTCAACAAAATATAATACCAATGTCACACATGAGTAACAAAGTACACGGTTGTAGTAATCTCATAAATGCGTGAGTGTAGGTTTATTTTTAAAATAGGAGCTATATCGTATGTTGTTCTTTTGTTTCATAAATAAAACATATACTTACTTTATACTTAACTAGCACTTTATACACATGTTCGTGTCTGTATTATGCATGCATGTGTCTGGTTGTGATGTTACTTATACAAGTCACTGACTTCAGCACACAGCACAGTCGCCAATAATGCAAATGATTATTTAATATATTGAATAATGGTAGGGTGCTCGTTTAGATGATTGATAAATAAACTAGTACATCAAGATAGCTTACGCTTTTAAGATGCGCTATTTCTAATCATAAGAAGGCTTTGAACTGATTCCTTTTATTATATGATTATCTATCACGTGTCCGCTTTTTACGATAATTGCTTTTGTTGTAAGGTTGTAGGAACTTTTTGATATAGGTAGGTTTTGTTTGTCTATTTGTCCACCACGTATGATCAGCTAGCCGTGGACATAGCGGTTTAAAATTGCACTATTCGGTTAAAAGCTGTAGAATAACGACAAATAAAATTTGAAGTGACTTAAAGGCAGTTTTAGGGTTTTTGCGAAATTTCACACGACTTTATTAAGCACGTTAAAAGATATTAACGTAAAGGTAGATGAAAACGACTCTCATATTATATTTCCGAACTTGAACAAGCTGATTAATTAGGAGGTCACTTTTGGCGTATTCGAGGTGGTAGAAAACGACGGGAAAAATACGTTGAAGTGTATAGTTGGTTGCATACATTCTAATGACATGATAATTGTTTGATCTGAATTGTTGGTTGCATATACATACATATATGTATACATCACAGTATATTGAAATTATTGAAGAGGCTCAAGTGTTACGCACTAAGGGCTTAAATTATGTTATACTGGAAATGGCTTCAAGTGCTATACACCACCGACAAAAGTACTGTTCAAATTTGAACGGATTAGGGCTAGTTTATCATAATAATACAATACTGTTGTTGACCTACGTTTTTGTATCATATTCAAGAGTATATATATTAAAATTACGAAGATTAGCTGCAATTCTAATTCCAATTCTAAAAATTCTTCGACTAATATAAAGCATGGTGTGTGTTGAGTAAATTGTGGGATATACGTGAAAATACAGATTATTATCGAGAATCCTTGATGCGATGTACTAACAATAATTATCTCCTTTGTCATTAACTTTTGCATTTACAAATAAGTCATTAGTATATAGCATAAGTTCAAAAAGTGTAGAAACAGTTGGATATCTAGAACAAGATGCTTTGTATCGGGAAGTAGAAAAACACGTTTACGATTTTTCTTCAGGAATGTTATAGGAATCGGCTTTAGATTAGCTTTTTCGTTAACATTAGAATTATCTCTTTTTCTCTCTCTAATAATCTACTTTACCTTCGTTGGCAGACGAGGCAAAATTCTGGTCAAAATAATACTTTTCTTTATATATATATATGTCGGTCAAGCCA